AAAATCCATCCCAAGACTCACACTTGTTCTAATTTATGTTTACAGCTGCTGGTCTTTTAAAAATAAGCTTTCAGTACATGCACTAAACCTAGATAATGTCATGGGTTTTGGAGAAGTTACCTACAACTTTTCATTGATGAATCAAAGATTTGTCCATAATGTTTTGATAAGTGCAATGTTTTAATCAATGAAAATGTAACTCTCCATGATATAGCACGATTTTGTAAGTGAATGTTAGATAATGGTCAATCAAAAATTTGTTTTAGTGCTGGTCTCTCTGGAAGATTTTAGAAAAAAATCAAGCATAAATGCTGTTTAAAATGGTCCTGACGAGATTTCAAAATTGTTCAAAAGATGTAAAGGTGTGATGTTCTGAGATGCAACTGTGATGTTTAGATGTGCCACTGAAGTTTGACTGAGAAAAATTTAAATAAGAACTTTACCACACAATTTCTTCTGGCTTACTTATAGTTCATGATAACTTTATAAGTTAGAGCACACATCTGAAATACAGTAGTATATGCATACAAAGCTTACATAGGTTATGCTCTGCAACTGACAGTTTAACTTTAATACCAGGAACATATTATATTAATTAACTATAATTAATTTTTTTCCTGAAAGGTTTCAGTGATACTAATTGTTAAATATGGAATTTAAATATAATTGACTAAAAATCACAAAATATGTGTTACTTATGTTGTGTGATTTCTGTGTAATATTAAAAATAAGAAAACAAAGAGAAATTAGTTATTACAGACCTACACATCTATTTAGCTCATAAGCACCCAGGTATTTTATATTGCTAACAGAAGTGGAGTCTTGGAAATAATTTATATAAAGAGAAAAAGCAATATACAAAAGTTAGCGTTGGAAAAATTACCTTTTCCATTTTCAGGTTTACTTAAGTTAGTGATGACTGAATGTCATTATCAAAAGTTGGTAGGTTAGAGACCTAAACAGGATGGTTTTGTTGTCTCTGTTATTTTCCTACTTGCTAAAGTCCACTGTATAAATTATTATTTCAAAGGCCAATTTGGTTGGCAGCTTTACACAGAGAAGCCACAAACTGGAGACTTTCACTATCCCTCATTTAATCTGACCAGCATTGTATCACCAGATGTGTGATGGAGCATTTTTGTTTGTTTTATTTTTATATTATTTTGCCAGGATATACAGGGCAAGGCAAAAGTAGGTTTACCAGTTGTTCATATGCAAAATAATACATTAATTAATAAATAATAATACAAGAATAAACTCTGCTTTGCATACTCAGATACATTACATATATATATCCTCCTACACATTTCACTTTACCTGTGAGGAAATTTTTACTAACTTCATTCTACACTATTATGTAAATACTTGAGATATCCATGAAAACTTTCCATGGGATTCAAAAGATCATATATATAAAATTTAAAATATGAATACTATTTTAGATAAAAAATTAAATATAAATATAAAACTTTATTATTTATATATATTTATATATCCATATTTATATATTCATATATATGTGAATGTGTGCTGTGCTTCAGTATAAGTAAAAAGAATCTCTGAAAAGTCATCAACTGCAAGAAATAATAAAATAAATAATTCATATTAATTACATTTTAAAGTGATCATAATATATGAGCAATGGCAAATAAAAATTCTGCAAATTTTACTTCATAATTTTTAACTTAATATTATCTTCTACTATTAGACAAATATGTATGATAATTTTGATTTAACTGATAATTTTATTCTTAAAGAAACTACTTGACTCTGGTATAAGTAGCTTTTCAAAGTATGAAAAGAAAGCCATTAAAATGTCTACCATCGATTTCAGTACTATTTACTAAGTCTTCCCTGCAAAGGTAAAGTTAAAGACACTGATTTAACCATTGGATCCACATGATCACCATCACATTGAGACTTGCATGTGTCTTTGATTTCCACTAAAACTGAGGCACACAATGTCCTGGAAAAGCTCATTACACTGAGTGATGGAACATTTGTCATTTGTTTAAAACCCCAAACCTAATTTATTTCCTTGTGATTTCCATAGCTTTTTCTGAAGTCTTCATTGCACCACACATTCCAAAGGGAAGATTACATGATATTCTTGTATTTCATGAGAAGAGTGAAATTTGACTAGTTGTGTAGGAGAAATAAACTGTTATGCACCATTTAGAAAAAGAAGCACTTTGACATTTAGCTCTATTCCATGTCTTTAAGGAAGCAAAAGTATCTCTGGGTGAATGTTTCTTGAAGATAATTTGTAAGTGACTGCTAAGATTTACAGAGTTCTCACATTTGCTTCCCCCACAAGGATTCTAAATCAGATTGGTTCAGAGGAAAAGCCACCATATCCCATTTTTCTAATATTATCACTTCTCCAGATGGCCCTCGAACCTCTGTTCAATTCCTTTTTCCTAGAAAGTAAAGAGGTACCTTATTAGATATCTATGTACATCCACTGCAAAAGCTGACTTCTTGTTCTTCTTTTTCTTTCTCACTTAACATCTCAAATCTCTTTTATCTCCTACCAGAAAGCAAGCACAGTGATTGCCTAAAACTTTGTCTTGGCAACCTGAGCAATGAGAGAGTTAATAGTGGATCTTTGAAAACAGTGACATGGGAAATTAGAGTTGGCAGGGATTTAACTCTTCAAAAACCATGCTGGAATATTTTTAAGGGTAATGCAGTGGATGTTTTAACTATGTTTGACATCTAATTAAGGAGGAAAAAGAAGCAGCTAAGAAAAAAATAATGTCTAGTTTAGTTTAGAAACAAAGTATTTATAATTGGCTACCAGACTTTTACTTTGGCAAAACAAGTGTACATGGAGAGAAAGAAAGGTAATGACAGACCAATAAAATGACAAGAAAAATTGCTTGGGCCATTGCTTTTATTCTTCTTACTGTTGTTCATTTCACAGCTTATTTTACCAAATTGCCAAATTCTAGGTATATCAATGGAATTTTTATGTAGCTGTAGGGTAGTTTTTTAGTTAAAGGAAAGCACAATAATTATAATGGATGCCATTGCTAAAAAGAGCTTAAAAGATAGTGTCAAATACATACAGCTAACTTCATCAGACAAGTTTAAAGCATGTGTACATAACAAAGGTTATTCTAATTAAATGCTACCTTTTTAAAATGGAGAGCAATATGCTACCAGGTAAATAAGATTCTTGCAAAATAAATAAATATAACTCTCAATTCTTATTTATTTTACAATTTATTTAGCACTTAGACAAGTAACTGTGATTGTAAGATCTTTTAAATGTATTTCATGTTTCAAACTTATTTTAAAATTATAATCTATAGCTATTCACTTCTTCAAGAAGTAGTTGCATGCAAAACTTACTTATAAGGAATATAAACTTACATAAAGTGGACCATCAACCTCAGAATTAATTGATGACATCCTCTCAAAGAGTGAAAATAGCAAAAACTGATGCCAACATAGATGCCATAATATCATATACTATACTAAACAATTTAAAGACAGCCTCTAAACAGAGACACAATAGAGATTAATTAAATATTTAATGGAGTCTATATGTTTTTAATATCTCAGATGACTACAATTGCAATTGCTTGCTCATGTTTAAAATGCGTTCACATTTTAATAAAGAAAATGTTATGCCAAAAACTAATATATTTTCCAAGTAAGTGTATTTTATCTAACAAGTATTAAGTCCAAATAAACACATTTAATAGGTGTCTAATTTTCTAATCCAAAGTGTGAAAAATACACCCTCCTTTCCTATTTGTGGTCCTCATTCACACCCGAGCATTCAGAGAGATCATCCCCTTCATGTGAAAATTAAAGACCCTGGTTGCTGGCATAAGAGCAATGTACAGTATATAGACATCTCTGCAAGAGAGATTCAGTAAATTTGCTTCCCATTATAGGCTGAACACAGAATATAATTGAAGCTTCTCACTGCCCCACCCCCTATTCTAGAAATCTGAGAATCATAAGAAAGCAACACCTTAGGGAGTAAAACTACTTGAGTTCAAACAGTTTAATCTGAAACTCCACTTTGATAATACCTCAGTTATATAAGTATTTCCTTCCATTACAAGTTATATTTATTATTTTGGAATCCAACTTAGCATTATTTTATACAAATTTATCTAAACAAATATAGAACAACTATTTTTCTTTTAAAACCATCATTAAGAAACATGCATGCACATGAAACTAGAACCAAATAAAGTATTAGCAACCATGAAATAAAGCTTTTTTTTCTTTCTTAAATTTAAACTTTTTTTTTTTTTTTACAAAAGAAGTTCACACTAGTTCTACAAGTAGGAAGTAGTGTGTCTTCATTTCTTACTGAAGTACGTATGGAATTAAATAACATTATATTTCAAAGACTGGCTTTACCCCAATTAGCCAAATACACAGTCTTTTGTACAATCATAACACACTGTGGAAAAACTAGTCTGTTCTCTCCAGTTTATATTCTCTTGGCAAACCACGATCTACTGCTTATGTTAAGCATCTGATTGTCAGATTTGAACAAACTGAATATTCATGATGATGATTAACCATTTAGTGTCTAAAACTAAGACAACACAATTTGTCATAACAATTCTTATAGGTGAGGCATGCATATCTAAGAAGGGACCATTTTTTTTCAATAGTAGTGTTAAAGATATTTAAAAAGAAGTAGGGTCAGAAAAATTAACAGAACACACGATCACACAGACAGATCAGTGTTTCCCAGGCATTCAGCTCCTCTCTGCAAATGTGATTAAATGTTCTTTGTTTGCATTTAAATTGTCATCTCAAACAGAAGGCATGCTTTCATTTATCTATTTTTTTAAAAGTGCTTAAATCATCTCAGAAAGACGCACCCAGTCATATAGGTTCCCCAGGTTAAACTAAAGGTTTTATGGTTTGGGTTGGGAGGGAGTTCATGGAATAAAAAGGGAGGGGGGCGACTGAGGGGGTATGACACAGCTAGCCAAATAAAAGAAAAAAAAATAAAGATTTACCTTTGTAGGATAATTTCAGCCTTGGCACATTGTTCTTCCCATTCTGATAGCTGGCTCTGGCTGTAAGTAACACTCCCCAGAAAAGACAGGCGATCCTGGTGAGCCAGCCCATGCTGCAGGCGCAGTGGGTCCTGCTGCTTCAGGCTTCCCTCCTGTATTGTGCGGCCAGAGAAGTTCAAACAATCTGAAAACTGGAGGTAACAGGTGACCTAGGTCAGTTTCATTCATAAAAGCAGACAAGCAAGACTTCACCGCAACACCAACACCTCTTCTTCTGTAACAGTCACTGAAGAAACTTCAAAACCTCCACACAAAAAAAAAAAAAAAAAAAAAAAAAAAAAAAATCCGAGCCAGGCACCGGATAATGAGGCACAACTGTTGTGTGGAAAGGAAAAAAAAATTAACCAGGGCTGCTGCAGTGGCGCTTAAGAAGCAGTTCCTTTTATCTAGGCTCCTCTGATAGCCGGTGGCAGACTCTAATCCTGCTCACTGCTTCATTCGGCACCGGGGAACAGAATGAAAGGGAAACGAGAGAGAGAGAGAGGAGAGAGAGAGAGAGAGAGAGAGAGAAGCTGTGAGCAGCGCGGACTTTTCCTGTACACATGTAGGAGAGATGACACAAGATCCCGCAGACAGGTTCCCCCAACACTCACTAGACTGGCTGACAATGGGAGAACAGGCGAGCTCAACCCACTCCCCTTCCCTCCTGTCACACAACACATGCAAAAAACATCTCCTAGAGATTAGAGCCGGGAGCAGAACCCTCCAGCGTGCCTGTGAAAGGCATGTAGCCATAAATTTACTTGCAGAGGCAAGCGTTGTTTTATAGCCATGTTAGGTGCAATTTTGATTTTAAAAATCTGAATTCGGCTACCTACATAATGTAGAACTCATGCTCCTGATAGAAGTCTGCTGAACTTGCGCATTATCCGCGTGAATGTATATGTATATAGAGAGATCTGCATATGCATATGTGTGTATCTGCATATGCTTTCATCAATATAACTTTAACCACGGAAGGTTTTAAAGCCTCGTTAGAGAGCCTTCCCTCCTCCCTACAAGCACACTTGGCTCAGCCACCCCTTCCCCGCCCCACTGCAATCTCAGCAAAGAAATTCCTAGTAAAGCCCATTTCAACAATCAGTTCAAGACAAATATAGGTCCACTGAGAATTATAAATTACAACAGGGTATTCTCAAAAGGATACTCAGAATTTAAAAAGAGCTAGGGTTTTCCAGCTTCTGGAATGCTCTGGCTAACATTTTTAATGCATCACATCTCATTAATTAAAGCCACTTCCAGAGTTTTGGTTTAAAGGGCAGAGGAAGATGACAAAGTTCACCAAAGTCCCTGCTGAGTATCAGGGACCGATGGAGAGAGGATATCTCCGTGTCTTCATGAGCTGATAAGGGTTCCTACATTTTCTGTGGACACGTGAATGTATTCCGGCGGTCATACATCATTAGTTCTTTCCTAAATAGGAATACTGTCTGAGGTGTTTAAGTTTCCTCTTCTATTTTTTTTTCTTTTCATTTTCTCCGAAGCTGATATTCTTATAAGATTCTGTGGAGTGTGATATCTAAAAGTTAATAGGACAGACGTTTCCTTCTTTATTCTTCACTCCCCAACTCTATCTGCCCTGCACTCTCCCCACCCTCCAAGCCACACCACATACACACCTGAAACAGGAGAGAGAACTCTCCTTCAATAATACAAAAATGTCTCAGCTGAAAGAAGAGGGTGGGTCTCACAATTTAATACATAAACACGCATTGAAAGTGGTTTAGTAGCCTCATAAAAAAATTTGTCTGAGCTTTGTCATACAGCTTTTATTAGTTAATGTCTGCAGACCAATAAGAGAGCATCCCCCATCTCCCTCTCTCTCTCTCTCTCTCTCTCTCTCTCTCTGTAGGTGGTGGAGGAGGAGGAAGAAAATGAAGAGGATTTAAAGGGAGGAAAATGGGGAAGGGGATGAGGGATTCTCTTTCTACTTCACTAGTTGGATTGATTCATCAAACAGATCCATATTGTATTTGTCAGTTTCCAACAGCCTATTGATCAGTCAGTATTGTTAAGAAAATAAAATCCAAAAATAATGTTGATTTTACTGATTCCCACACTTGTTATCCTGAGCACCTTTCAAGCTCCGGGCAATGGATTAAGGCTACAAATGACAAGAGGCTTGTCTGTCTTCCATGGATTATCCTCTATAGACATTCATTCTGCAGAGGAATTCATGCCACTTTGGCAGAACGGGACTAATGAATTATCCTATTGACATATCACAAACAATCAGTTTAAATATCTTAAACGGTTATGCCATTTTCATTAATATATATTTTAAATGTCTCAAAATATTTATTCTTTCTCTAGCTCTAGTTACTTAGAGTAGGAGAGCAAGTTTATATTTGTCAAAACTTAACAGGATAAGCAAATTTAGAAATGTATCCATTTCACTAGCATAGAGACTAATCCTGACAAATAAAAGGTTGTAGGTAAAATCAGTTAAAAGAGGGTCAAAATTGATTCCATGGGGAAGAAAGACATTCAATCTGGATTTTAAACCACAAAATCAGGACAGACTTATTTCATTTTATAAAACAAATAGTTTAAATTAATGTTGAAGCCTGGAATTTGGTAACACAGACACATAATAATAATAATGATAAAACTTTGATATAATTATTTATATTTGACATTTGTCCTACTCTCCATTTTTTATGATCCTTGTATCCTTTCAGATGTTTCAAAGTTTAATAAATTCACATTAACATTTGCTTATCTGTATTATGTTTAATTAAAAATGAAAAAAATCATAAATTCTTTAGGTAAGCATAACTGTCCTAGAATGATTAAATTATAACATAGTGGAAAAGTACAAGCATATCTAGATGTTTTACTGTGATTTAAAAAAAGAAAAGAAAAAGACAAACTACATGACTATAAAATACTTTAAAAAGTATTAGGATTAGTATGTGTTTACCTCCTTTAGTCTTTTGACTTTGGTCAGGGTTAAATAAGGTCATTTTCAACTCTTTTTTGTTTTTTTACATATAGCACCAATAAGTAAGGGATAATCAAGGTTAAAGCTATTTCTGAACAGAGAGCAGTGGGCCTGGGTGGGTGTTTATCAGAATTTACAAAATCTGGCTGCTTGCCCTAACCTGTTCGGCTCAGTGGATAGAGCGTCGGCCTACAGACTCAAGGGTCCCAGGTTCGATTCCGGTCAAGGGCATGTACCTTGGTTGCGGGCACATCCCCAGTGGGGAGTGTGCAGGAGGCAGCTGATTGATGTTTCTCTCTCATCAATGTTTCTAGCTCTCTATTCCTCTCCCTTCCTCTCTGTGAAAAACCAATAAAATATATTTTAAAAAAAAAATCTGGCTGCTTGTGTGGCGTGGAGATTTTGATTCACGATTCTCCCCACCGGACCCTCCTCTGAGGATCTGTGGCCTAAGCCTTGACAGGATCGGGCCTGCTGAATTTGCCACCTCAGCCATTGATTTTACACAACTTACTTCTTTATAAAAGTCAAAAATATATATATTGACCTTTTAATGTTGAATTTTATTTAAGTTAAAAGGGAAAATGTTATTTTTGTTTCTTTCTCAAAGCAATCTCTCAATTTTTAATTACATTATAACCCACAATCTACATCATGTGATATAATTAAGTCTATTTGCAACTGAGTTCCTAATATCTTAAGTTTCAAGTTTTCAGATATGATTAATTCCTAAGACAGAGTCAAATTTGAGCAGGTACTTAATATGATGATCATGCTGTTGTGTACATTTCTGTCAAATTAATCAATGGTGTTTAACCTCACCCCACTCCATTTTGAAATGCATTACACAGACAGCAGTTTTCTGAGTGGTTTGCTTGATTTTCTAGAGACACAACATTTCATTTTCACAAGAGGGTGGTTAACTCTTACTTTTCAATAATAATAATAATAAAACCTGTATAGTCAGAGAAGATATATATTGAAGCATTTCTCCATTGGAAATGTATTTCTTATCTTTTGATGAATTACATAAAACCAATGTGAACATACTACTTTTAAAGGTTCACTCTCTAATTTTGCTACTTATTATAAAACAAATTGGGATAACAAACATTGCAATTTAAGAGCAGAAATTGTTGTTCTAATTTGGGAGGTGCTCTTCCAAGTACTTCCCCATGTTATAGATACTCGGAATCTTTCAGTGAATGGTAGGTGAAAAGATTTGCTATATTTGTGTATAAAAGAATGTAGGGAAATATGTATAGTTTAGCTGTATCTAAAAGGTTTAGTGGATTAAATGTGCCTAAAGTGATGGTATACTTTATTAAACACCCTTGTCTTTCCCTGCAATCCCACTCCATCCCCGTTTTATCGTGGTTAGATACAGTAACACCCCCAAAGTGTGTGCCACTCATAGAGGCAGGTGACCTCTTTAAGATAAATTACTGAGTTAAGACTTTCAAAATGAGTTGGTTTTTCAGTTTTTCAAAAAAACAACACCAGGGGGAAAAATATGAAAAACAAACAAAAAATATCAGTAGTCTTTCTAAGATGTTGTTCAGTTGAGTTATGTAAAAGAGACAAAACTATATTACTTTTTACCTAACATCTGTTATTTCCTTTTTATCCTTCAAGCGAATGCTTCATTAGTATATGAGAAAGGCCTATGATCAACAGAATTAAAGCAAATGTCATAGTTGAACACTTGCCCTTGCTCTGATATCTCATGTCGGAAATTCATTTTTAATGAGAGTTTTTCTGGTACAGGGAATCTGAACCTTTTTTTCTTTTTAAAAAGAATTGTGTGGGTGAAAACATTCTTTAGAAGATCAGAAACATCCTATTAATTGGAAAAATGAAATAGTTGATGTATTATTTGTTCTAGCCAAAATTGATAGCTATTTAAGATCTACTACAGTAGTCACTGAAAACTGGGGGTGGCAGGTTAAAAGTAATATTTAAGAAATTGTTAAACTTTTCATCATCTGACCCTTGTGAATGCTTTTGGTACAAGCAACATGTGAAAGCATGAGCTGAGAGGAGGAATTGGTAAAAGACAAAGGGAATTCAATCTGGGGAAGCGTCCACGCCTCCCTAGCCCTCCCCCCACCCCATGAATACAGTTTACAGTAAAGCAAGCTTGTTCCTCTAGACTGAATTTGTAACAGTTTGGAAAAAAAACAAAAAACAATTGTGTGTTTTCTCTTGTGACATCAATGTTCATGACACTTTAAGGTAAGTAGGTACTTAAGATAAAAGACTCCTTGCTTTTCAAATGAAGTAATAAATGTTAAAGCAATGCAGAGAGACCAGAAACTGGCCAGCCACATTATTTGTGCCTATAGATTTTAAGAGAAACTTAAACATTTAAGAGTTTCAAAAATTATAGGGGGAGTTCTTTAGTGGTAAGGTGAGGTGAGGTGAAGTGGTAGCTTCCCTTACCTTGGAAACTTGGTTTGTGGGGCTAGTAGGTAAGTTTTATTAGGTCACTACATCTGAGTGGGGGATGGGAGAGGGTGACAAAAAAAGGGATGCATAAAATTGTGTTTATGGTTAGTATCCATGTTGGCGAAAGTGGCCAAAATCCAGTTAAAAGAACATGATTGATCATTTCTTTTGATAAATATTTTTGACTGCTTAAATCAAACATATTTTTCAACATTTCAAAATGTTTTAAACATGGGGTTTTTCCTTTTCCTT